TTTTTTTTTTTTTTTTTTTTTTTTTTTTTTTTTTTTTTTTTTTTTTTTTTTTTTTTTTTTTTTGTATGTTGATGTTTTTATGTTAAAATCGTTACGAACACTAAGGTTTTGGAAGGATTTCGTCTTGCGCGCGCGAATGTCCACTTTACCTCATTTTTTGCAAGGGATTCTTGAAGTTTGGATCTGTGAGAACAAGAAATGTCCACTTTAGCTTATTTTTTGCAAGGGAAAACCGATCGTAACAACACAACCGGATCTGGATGACATCGTTTTGACTGAGACTTCCTCACGAAAATGATGAAAACGTGGCTGCGGCCTAGGCGCGGCGGGGGGGCCATGCGCCAGGGGTCCAAACAATAATTATTCTTTAGAAGTAATAATGTTCAACGCTCCCGCTCGAGACTTCCTCCTTTTTACTCAGGGCCGGTGCTCTTGCTCGCCGCCGAAAACCGCCGTCCCAACAAAACCAGCGCTAACTACCGCTCGAGACTTCCTCCCGTTTTGCCTTGGACTGGCGCGTTCCTTTTTCTCTCATCGGCGCCGCCCCCAGCAACAACAACGCTCCCGCTCCAAACTTCCTCCCTTTTTTACTCAAGGTGGTGCTCCTCACCGCCGCCGAAAACCGCCGTCCTGACAACCAGCGCTCCCGCCCGAGACGTCCTCCCGTTTTACGCTGGACTGGCGCCGTACTCTCTTTTGAATTGGCGCCGCTCCCAGCAAGAACAGCGCTCCCGCTCGAGGCTTTCTCCCTTTCTCCTCAGGACGGTGCTGTTCCTCGCCGCCGACAGCCCCCGTCCCGACAAAACCACGGCTCCCGCTCGAGACTTCCGCCCTTCTTACTCAAGGCGCTATCCCTCCTCGCCGCCGGCAACCGCCGTCCCAACAAAACCAGCGTTCCCGCTCGACACTTCGTTTTGTTTTACGCTGGACTAGCGCCCTACTCTCTTCAGCATTGGCGCCGTTCCCAGCAACAACAGCGGCCCTGCTCTAGACTTCCTCCATTTCCATTCAGGGCCAGGTCCTTGCCTCGCCGCCGACAGCCCCCATCCCCACCAACGCAATACTGTCGCTCGATACTTCCTTGTGCTTTACCCTTGGCTGGGGCTCCATTGGCGGTCTCGCATCGGCGCAGCAAGGCGCGGGCATGCTTTCTTTAGGCGAAATATGTCGAAATTCTTCTGAGGAGGTGTTTGCAAGACCTCATTGGGTGGGAGATCTGGGAATGGGAATAACGGACCCCGCTATAGAAAAATAATCCCCCATGATGGGGATGGTTATCATGATAGTCGCATGCTTCGTGTGGAAACAGCGCGCATGAGGGTAAACTGATTGTTGTTGTTGTTGTCGTTGTCGTCGTCGTTGTTGTTGTTGCTGTTGTTGTCGTCGCCGTTGTTGTCGTTGCTGTTGTGGTTGTTATTGCTGCTTCTGCTGTTGTTGTCGCTCTTGTTGTTGTTGTTGCTGTTGTTGTCGTCGTCGTCGTTGTTGATGTTGTTGTCGTCGTCGTTGTTGTTGCTGTTGCTGCTGTTGTTGTAGTAGTTGTTGTTTTTGTTGTGCTTGTTGTTGTAAATGATGCTGATGCTGTTGTTGGTGGTGGTGAGGATGATGAATATGATAACGAATATGGCAATGTTGGCGATCAGGGTGGTGCGGCATCTGATGTTGATGGTGATTGTGATGATGGGGATGGTGATGATGATTGTGATGGAGGTGATCGTGAGTGAGTGGGTGTCTGGGTGACTGATGATGACGACGACAATGACGATGATGATGATGATGATGATGATGATGATGATTGAGTGATGATGATGACTGATGTGATGATGATGATGATGATGAGAAGATGATGGTGGTGGTGATGAATACAGGATGATCATGTTGTGGTGATGAACTGGATAAGATCCAATGATATGATCGAAGATCAATGCTGATAGCTGCTGCTGATGAAATGATATATGATGATGAGATGATGAATTATATGATGAAGATGATGATGAATGATGATGAGGATGATGTGAGATGATGATGATGATAAGGTGATGATGATGATGAGAGGATGAATGCCTGATGAGTGATGATAGGATGAGATGATGATATGATGATGATGATGATGATCAGATGATGATGATGAAGAATGATGATGATGATGATGATGATGATGATGATGATGATGATTGATGATGATGATGATGATGATGATGATGAAGAAGATGAGATGAATGATGATGAATATGATGACGATGATGAATGATGATATGAGGAGAGGAGGAAGGAGGAGAGAGGAGAAGGGAGGAGGAGGGATGAGGAGGAGGAGGAGGAGGATGATGATGATGATGCTGCTGTTGCTGCTGCTGATGATGAGGGAGAAAAGCGGGAAGAGGCAGGACTACAGGCAGGAAGGGGGGGGGGGAGAGAGCAGCACAAGAGCAATCAACTAGCAGCTGAAAATATGAGGAAATGCTACAAAGGCATGTGCCATCCCTCTGCCCGCAAGAAGAAGCTGCCACTCCGCCGCGTGTCGCGGGCGCCCGAGCGCGCGAGCGCGCGAGCGCGCGCGCGCGCAGGCAGGCGCCGCGTGCGCATTTGCGCGGAGTCCGCTGTCTTTGGCGGCGTCGACGCGCGTTGCCGCCACGACGACGTCGACGTCGACATTCGCCGATACGTTTTGATGGTCCATGGCCCGAAAACACGGCCTTTGAGGTCCAAATCGAGGAAAGAAGCCAGGATTGAAAACATCACATCGTCGGAGATTTGAGGAGGTCGACGTCATCCTGCGATGCCGTCGTCGTCGTCGTCGTCGTCGTCGTCGTCGTCGTCGTCGTCGTCGTCAACGTCGTCGTCGTCGTCGTCGACGACGTGGAGGTGCCAGCGGCCGCTGCGGGGGCGACGTGCGGTCGGGCGGGGCGCTGCGCGCCAGGAGGACGCCAGGGCATTCGCCAGCCAGGCTCTTGAGGACGGCCTGCCCCCGAACCCGCGCGGGGGGGGGGGGGGCGCGCAGGGGGGGGAGGATGAGGAAGGAGCGCGGGACAGGGAGGCATGGGGGGAGGAGGAGGGGGAAGGAGGGAGGGAGGAGGGAGTGAGGAGGGGAGGAGGAGGGAGAGGCAGGAGGAAGAGGGAGGGAGGAGGAGGGGGGAGGGAGAGGAGGACAGGGGAGGAGGTGGGATGATGATGATGATGATGATGATGATGATGATGATGATGAGTGATGATGCCATGATAGATGATGATGATGATGATGATGAGATGATCATGATGTTGATGATGATGATGTGATGAGGATGATGAGGATGATGATATGATGGATGATGATGTGATGAGGATGATGATGATGATGATGATGATGATGATGATGATGAGATGATGATGATGATGATGATGATGATGAGGATGATGATGATGATGATGATAAGGAGGAGGAGGAGGAGGAGGAGGAGGAGGAGGGAGGCAGGAGGGGGAGGGGAGGGGGAGGGAGGGAGGGAGGGGAGGAGGAGGAGGAGGAGGAGGAGGAGGAGGAGGAGGAAGGGAGGGAAGGAGGAGGGAGGAGGAGGAGGAGGAGGGAGGAGGAGGGAGGGAAGGGAGGAAGAGGGGAGGAAGAAGCAGGAGGGAATGAGGCCTCCGGGAGGCACCGGTCTCCTGCTTTGGCCTCGTCCTCGTCCTCGTCCTCGTCTCGTCCTGTCCTCCATCCCCGGCAGGGGATGGAGGACGAGTGCGGGAAAGAGCCGCTCGAGAACAGGTGCGGGGAAGAGCAATTCGTTCCTCCTCCTCCTCCACCACCATCCATCTCCTCCCGCTGCCCCCCCTTCTGCTCGCCCTCGTCCTCGGCGCCGTGCGCCCGTGGTGCATGTTGGCACGCCCCTGTCGGGCCTTCCATCCCATGCCTCCGCCCTGTCCCGCTTGTCCTCCCCCCTCCTCCTCCTCCTCCTCCTCCTCCTCCTCCTCCTCCTCCTCCTCCTCCTCATCATCATCATCATCATCATCATCATCATCATCATCATCATCATCATCATCATCATCCAACTCCTCCTCCTCCTCTTCCTCCTCCTCCTCCTCACTTCCTCTCCTCTGCCCCCCCCCCGTCCCAGCTCCTCCTCCTCCACCTCCCACTCTTCCGCTTCGGCGGCCCGATTAGACACCAATCGAGCGGAGCAGCTGCCAAGGGCCGACGCGGCCGGAAGCGAACAGGGCGCTGAGGCGTGAGGGGCGCATCCGGTCGCAGGAGAGAGGGGTCCACGCCGAGTCGGGCGCGCGCTCTCGGATATGCCACTCGCGGACGTGTGAAGGCCCCTCCCCCGCCTCCCCCTCGAGGCCATCGCCCGGGAGAGGTTGGTCGCTCCCTGCTCTGCCGTTGCCCGGGCGGGGCTGGCGGAGCAGCCCTCTGCGAGCATCGCCCGGGAGGGGTTGCCCGGGAGCGGCAAGGGCGGCCTGGGGAGGGTGCCCAACGGTGGCACGACCAGGAGGTGGTCGGCACCGAGGTGCTGCCCTAGGCCCTAGGCTTTCTCCGAGTTGCCGCGAAAGGGGGAGCTTGGGCCCCCTCCTCCCCCGTGAGGAGGAACCTGGCACGGGGAGGAGGTGAGCCTCCGGGGGCCTCCCGAGAACCCCGGTATGGGAGAGTCCCCACGCGGCCAACCTTCGAAGGTTTCGGAAGGCCCAGCCACAGAAGGGAGCAACCACGCTCCACGAAGAAGAACAACAACTGCATAAACATAAAACTCTTGGAGCTCCGCGCGGATTTCTCTGATCGGCGCTGGACCCCCCTCTGGAGCACGGAGCGCGCCGGGGGCGGCGCCAGATGCGCCCCCAGGTGGACTCAGCGCCGATCCAAGAAATCCGCGCGGAGCTCTGAAAGTGTATGTGCGTGCCGTTTTTTGTTCCTAGCCTTCGACCTGCACCTTTCGCACCCTCCGCGCGGTAGAGTGCCGCGCTGCTGTGGCCGCCGCGGCCGCGTCGCGGCGGCGCCTTCCGCGCGGAAGGTGCGGACGGTGCAGGTCGAGCTCGCTCCGAAGCCCCGATGCCCGGCACCCGATCCTCGCTCCCCGAGGAGGAGGGGGAAGAGGGGGAGGAGGAGGAGGAGGAGGAGGATGAGGAGGAGGAAGACCAGTGCAAACCCAAGAGTCATCAACGATGTTGGAATCAACCCTCCCTCCGAGCTCACTCTTCATAGGCCCCTACAACGGTTCATTTCCACAGAGGGAACTGCCTCGTTGGAAGACAACCTGTTGAAGACTCTGAAGCATGCCAAAACATGGTTGTCGGGATTCCAACTTTACGGATCAATCTGATTGTTGCGTTTTGACGATCCGGAATCGTGCCAGAACGCCATTTTTGGGACTTGAACGCCGTGAATCAACGTAGCTGTTGCGCCCTCTGGTACGTTGATCATAGGAATCCGTGAAACCCTTCCTATCCGTGAAACCCTTGCATAAACAAAAAGGAATGTGCGCGGCGTTAAGGCGAGAGCCACATTTTGAAAACGACCCGCTCTCAATCCGTGAAGCTCTTGCAAATAAAACAAGTGCACGCGGCGCTAAGGCCAGAGCCACTTTTTGAAAACGACCCGCCCTCAATCCGTGAAGCTCTTGCACATAAAAAACGAATGTGCGCGGCGCTAAGGCGAGAGCCACACTTTGAAAACGACCCGCCCTCAATCCGTGAATCTCTTGCGAATTTTGTGAACGAATGTGCGCGGCGCTAAGGCGAGAGCCACACTTTGAAAACGACCCGCCCTCAATCCGTGAATCTCTTGCGAATTTTGTAAACGAATGTGTGCGGCGCTTTGGCGAGACACACATTTTGAAAACGGGTCGCCCTCAACTCGTGAAGCTTTTGTAAATCTTTACAACGAATGTGCGCGGCGATGAGGCGAGAGCCACATTTCGAAAACGACCCGCCCTCCATCTGTCAAGTTGTTGCATGTTTTATGCTTCAGGGTCACCAGTGATGAGGAAGTCTCAGTCGAAACGCTCGGCCTGCCCCCCAAACTGGCCAAATGCGACAATGAGGAAAAGGAATGCAGGAGGAGGAGGAGGAGGAGGAGGAGGAGGAGGAGGAGGAGGAGAGGAGAGGAGGAAGAGCTCGAGGAGGAGGAAGAGGAGGAGGAGGAGGAGGACGGGGCGGGGAGGAGGCGGAGAGGAGGGGGAGAGAGGAGGAGGAGGAGTGTGGAACGGAGAGGGGAAGGGAGGGAGGACGAGGAGGGAGGAGAGGATGGACGAGAGGAGGAGGAGGAGGAGTAGGAGGAGGAGGAGGAGGGAGGAGGAGGGGAGGAGGAGGCGGAGGAGGAGGAGGGGAGGAGGAGGAGGAGGAGGAGGAAGGAGGGGGAGGAGGCGAGGGAGGCGGGAGGGGAGGAGGAGGAGGAGGAAGAGGAGGAGGGAGAGGAGGAGGAGGAGGAGGGGAGGAGGAGAGGAGGAGGAGAGGGAGGAGGAGGAGGAGGAGGAGGAGGAGGAGGAGGAGGGTGGAGGAGGAGGAGGGGAGGAGGAGGAGGAGGAGAGGAGGAGGAGGAGGAGGAGGAGGGGAGGAGGAGGAGGGAGGAGGAGGAGGAGGAGGAGGAGGGGAGGAGGCGGAGGAGGAGGAGGAGGAGGAAGGGAGGAGGGGGGAGGAGGATGAGGCGGAGGGCGGAGGGAGGGGGAGGAGGAGGAGAGGAGGAGAGGAGGAGAGGAGGCGGAGGAGGAGGGGGAGGAGGGGAGGAGGAGGAGGAGGAGGAGGGAGGAGGAGGAGGAGGCCGGAGGCCTCTGAAACTGAGCGCCGGATCTCGAGGCGCGGGTGCCTCCGCAATCCGTCCCATCCGGTCGCCTTGCGCCCCCCCCCGCAGAGCGCACTCCTCCGAGTACGGCCTCCGCCCCAGCCCGTGTCCACGGAGGCCCCCGCCCTGTCCTCCAAGAGGCGCCCGCGTGCCGCCGCGCCGCCCGGCCGGGGCGCGCCAGGACGCCGACGCCCCCGCCCGGGGCGAGAGCCAGAAGGCGCCCCCGGGCCCCGACCGCGCCGGGCCGCCGGAGCCGCGCGCGGGCGCGGGCGCGGGCGCGCTCCGCGCCCCGTCGGCGCGCGCGTCGGAGGGCCTCGTCGCAGGGCTCCTCGGAGGGCCTGCCCTGCCCGGGGCCCCTGGCGACGTGGCAGGCGTCGCGGCGGGAGGCGTCTCGCGGGCTGCGGCCTCCGGGCGTGGCGCGCGTCCGGGCCCCGGGGGCGTCGAGAAGCGACTCGGGACGAAGAGCCGGTCCTGGGGAAGGGGGGCAGACCCCAGACCTCCTCGCGCTGTGAAAGGGGTGCAGACCTCTGGGGGGTCGACGCTGCGGCAGAAATCACGGCGCCGGGGGTCTGGGACCTCTGGGGGTCGACGCTGTGAAAAACTCAGGACGTCGGGGTCCTGGGTGAGATCACGGCTTCTGCACATTTTTTCGCCATTTGGGGCGACTCTGCGTGGTCTCCTTTTGCCAGATTTTGTCCGAAGAGTCGCCACAAGCGCGCACTTCTGCCCACGCGTCCTTCCGGTTGCTTGGCTCGATGGTGGTGGTGGTGGCGGGCCCCACGGAGGGATCAGGCTCGAAAAGTGTTGGCAGACAGATGGGGGTGTAGGGCTTGCCTCACGGATCGGTCTGGCTCGAACAATGCAGCAGGAAGATGGGGTCTAGGCCTTCCGTCTTGATATTTTGGGATGCTGTATTTTGTTCGCAATGTTGGATCTCAGGACATGTCGACGAGCCTCTCGAAGGGCCTTTCGGAGGGTCGGAGGCCTCGTCGCAGGAGTAACGGGTACCGATACTGCTACCCTTGCCTCGTTTTCGCCTTTCTGGATCTCCTGGGAGGCACTGGTCAGAACGTGCCCTGAGAGAGGCCCTGGGAGCAGCGGTGTCAGTATCTTTTGGCTTCCTCATCTCGGAGAGTCTCTCGGAGGCCCCTCGGAGGTCTCTCGGATTCTCGGCGGGCTTCTGGAAGACCTCCGCGGGCCTCTGCGAGGCCCTCAGAGGCCCCTAAGGGAGGCTCTGGATGTCTTACTCTTTTGTTTCTTGCCTGGCGGCCAGGCGGCATTGTAGCTTCGCCGTTTTCTCCAGATGCCCAGGTGGGCGCTTAAATAGACGCGCTGCGGAGACAGCCATTGCCGCTTCAATCGCCGCTGCCTTCACGATGGTGCGTCTTTGTCGCCGTTTGGAGTGTTCAGCTGGTCGTATCCAGAGAGAACGAGTGTACAAGCATGTGTGTGTGTGTGTGTGTGTGCGGTAACATGTTGTGGCGTTGCCAGTCCAGTCGATACCGTTTCGCCGATACTGGTAAGTTATATCAATGAGTTCATTCGTAATGTGCCCCAATGTCTACATTTTTTTATAGCACCTAGATCACATCCGCTTGATCGAGGCCAGCGGAGACGAGTCATCATTCCCGGCTTTGACCTGCCTTGTGATGTTTTGGCTTCTGATGATGCGTTTTCTAGTCTACGATTTGATGTTACCCTTGTCCGCTTGCTTAGGCTTAGAAGGGCTTTGCCAGTGCATGCTTAGTCGTGGCCCTCTGTTCGCCTCCGCGTCGACAGTGTTTGACTTGATTTTCGATTGAGCGTTTGTTGCAGCTTTCCTTCTGTTTCGGGTATTGCTGGTTGCGTCTCATTCGCTGATTTTCTGATTTGTATGTTTTTCATCGTCTCCTTTGTCGCTCTCACATTTGGTATGAGCACCTGTTCCATACCACCATCGCCTTGCATTTGCTGCATTGAGTGGAGACATTGAAGGCGGTCAACGAAGACGCCCGCATCACCACACGCATGTGCGCGCCTCAGCGTTTCACGTTTCTTGTTCGGAGGATGTCCAGCTTGGGAGGTAAGAGAGTGATTTTCAGATCCGTATCGCGTATTTGTTAGGTTTGTGATCGCCACTTGTGTTGTATACTCGGATATGTTGTCCCAGTGCTTATTTTTGAAATGTTGTCGATGGTTTTCTCATGTGCGCGATTGATAGTATATTCAATTTGGAAGTCGCAGCATGCTTGTAGGACGTCTTCGACAACTTCAAACCTATTTGTTGTTACAGCTGCTCTGGTTGTTGAAAGTGTGTTGGGTTTCCTGGGCATATGCGCCCAAGTTTTAGTCTCCAAGAGGCGCTGCTGAGATCGTGGGTCTCCACTCCTGTCATTTCTTCTTCCGTCCTCTCGTCCTGTCCCCTCAGTCACACCCCATGCCATCCGCGCTTCTTGCCGTTCTTCTCCTCTCCTCTCCTCTCCTCTCCTCTCCTCTCCTCTCCTCTCCTCTCCTCTTCTCCTCCTCTCCTCTCCTCTCCTCTCCTCTCCTCTCCTCTCCTCTCCTCTCCTCTCCTCTCCTCTCCTCTCCTCTCCTCTCCTCTCCTCTCCTCTCCTCTCCTACAGTCAACCCGCACAGTAAGGCTGAGCAACCTTCCAAGGCTACCCCTGCATCCTTGCCCCTTCGGCCCATCCTTTGCGACTTTCGCTGGCCAGCCTCGTCCGAAAAAGCGTCAACGTGGCCCTCCAAGGCCCTTGCATCCTTACCGCGCGTTCTTATTAGTTATCCAGACTTGCGACGTCCTGATTTTTTCAATACGGGGTCCCTGGAAGTCACGACCCTTTCCCCAGGACCGGTTTTTCGTCCTGAGTCGTTTCTTGACGCTCCCGAAGCCCGGCGAGGGCCCCCCGAGGCCGAAAACGGCCCCAAACCGCCCGCCTTGATTTTTTTCACGACGCGATCATGTCTGGGTATACGGGTTGACTGTACATTCTTCCCTTCCCTGCTTCTCTCGCCTGTGCCCTCTTCTCCTATCCTTGCTTCTCGCCTTGCTCCTCTCCCGGAGGCCCTCAGAGGCTTCCGGGCCCGAGGAGGGTCAAACCAGCAGCATGTTCTCGATCCTCGGTGCTCGACCCCAGATGCTCGATCCCAGCACTTCGATCCTCGCTCCTCGACTCTCGATCCTCGATCTTCGACCCTCGAGCCCTCGTCTTTCGATGCTCGACCCTCGATCCTCGTTCGTCGACCCTCGACCCTCGATCGTCGATCCTCGACCCCTCGACCGTCGACACCTCGACCCTCGATCCCTCGATCCTCGATCCCTCGATCCTCGACACCTTGACCCTCGACCCTCGACGCTCGATCTCTCGATCCTCGGCACATCGATCCTCGACTCGACCCTCGACCCTCGATCCTCGAATCTCGATCCTCAACCTTCCCCTCTCCTCCCGCTGCCGTCGCTGCCCCAGTCGGTTGCCAGACGAGCAGGCCTCGCTGGGCGGCGTCGGCGTCGTCCCCCGACATCCAGCGCTTCCAGACGCCAGACCAGTGTCGGGAGGAGGAGGCGGAGGAGGAGGACCAGTATACATCCAAGATTCATCAACGATGTTGGAACAAACCCTCCCTCCAAGCTCCCTCTTTCAGAGGCCCATACAAAGATTCGCTTCCACTGAGGGAAGTGTTTCGTTGGGAGACAACCGTTTGAAGATGCTGAAGCGTGCCAACACGCCTTCCTCGGGACTCCAACGCCACGAACCAACTTGATTGGTTGCGCCTTGACGATCCTGAGTCATGAAACCCTTTGAACACGTTCGATACGAATGTGCGCGGCGCTACGGCGAGAGCCACACTTGGAAAAGAAACCGCCTTCAACCCGTCAAATTCTTGCAAATTCGTATGGCGAGTATTCGTCGCGATAAGGCGAGAGCCACATTCTGAAACGGAGCCGGCCTCAATCCGTGAAGCTCTTGCAGATGTTTAAGCGTAATGTGCCTGGCGCTAGCGAGAGCCACATTTTGACAAGGAGCCGCCCTCAATCCGTGACATTTTTGCAAACTTTAAGACGAATGTGCGCGGCGCTAAGGCGAGATCCCCTTTTTAGAAGCGGCCCGCCCTCCATTTGGGAAACGGTGGCCAATTTTTAAGCTTCAAGATCATAAGAAGGTAGGGAAGTCTTAGGCGACCCCCCTGGTCGCCCTTCGACTGGCCTTGGGGTGTGATATTGAGGAGTTATGCATAAGGAAGAGGATTGTAGCAGGAGGAGGAGGAGGGGGAGGAGGAGAAGGAAGAAGGAGGAGGAGGAGGAGGAGGAGGAGGAGGAGGAGGAGCAGGAGCAGGAGCAGGAGCAGGAGCAGGAGTAGGAGCAGGAGGAGCTGCAGGAGGTGGGAGGGCTGAGGGGAAGGGAGAATAGGGCAGGAGGTGCAGGTGTGCAAGTAGGTGGCCCATCTTTCCAAGGCTTCCCTCTCCGACGATCCACATCTGCCTGGTGTAACCGATGCGTGGGCCCCCAGACCTCTCGACCCCTTCCTCAGGGCCGGCCTTTCACCCTGGGTCGTGTTTGACCCGGCCCCAAGGCTCGAAGCTGGCCTTTAGAGGCCGAGCGTGGCGGCACACTGGCCGCCCAGATCTTTTCGACGCGCCCCTCCCGTCTCCTAGATATATCGCCCACGCGCCCCTTGGACACACGGCGTCTTCTTCTTCTCCTCCTTCTCCTCCTACTACTCTTGCTTTTCCTCCTCATCCTGATGCCATGGCCTCCCCCACCTGGTCTCAACTAGGCCCGGACGACTCTCCGCAGAGATGGTTCGCTCGTTCGTACTTCTCCTGCTCCTCCTCCTCCTCCTCCTCCTCATCGCCCTCGCTCCCTCCTCCTCCTCCTCCTCCTCCTCCTCCTACTTCTCCTCTCCCTCCTGCCTCCTGCGGGAGGCTGCCCGTCCTCCTGTCCCCGCCGCCCGCCCCCCCTGGCCCAGGTGTGAGCTCGTCGCCAGCCTGCACAGCGGCGGCCGCGGCTTCTGCATCGAGGCGGCGGCCGCCAGTCTCCCCAGGGGGTGGGGGGGGCCTCTCTTCGAGGAGTAGGCGGAGGAGAAGGAGGAGGAGGTGGAGGAGGAGGTGGAGGAGGAGGCGAAGGAGGAGGATGAGAAAGAAGAGGTGGAGGAGGAGGAGGAGGAGGAGGCTAAGGAGGCGAGGAGGACGGAAGAGGAGGAGGAGGAGGAGGGAGGAGGAGGAGAGGTGGATGTGGAGGAGAGGAGGGGAGGAGCGAGGAGAAGGCGGAAGCGGAGGCGGAGGCGGAGGCGGAGGCGGAGGCCGAGGAGGAGGAGGCGGAGGCGGAGGCGGAGGAGGAGGAAGAGGAGGAAGAGGAGGAGGATGAGGAGGAGGAGAAGGAGGAGGAGGATGATGATGAGGAGGAATAACCATAATAGTAGTATGAACCATTATTTGAACAGCATGACTACTAACAATAAGTCCATTTCGAATAAGCAGAACAACACAACACAGACGAATGAGACACGTACTATTAAGAGGAAAGCTAGTAATACCATTACCATTATTAGAAATGAAAGCATTGGTAGCAATATTGCTGTTTAGTTGACTATTCCTTTGAAAAAGAGTAGCCGAAGTCATACTACTAACACCACTAATACTAGTAGAAGTACTGACAGCACAAATGCTTATACTAACAATGGTAGCAACCGTATGAATACAGTAATACTCATACGGTCAATAACACCAATACTGATACTACTACTGATACCACTACTTAATCATAGCTATACGACGGAGAAGACGAATCACACCAATATTATCAATAAGCAGACGAATGCTAATAAGACTGGCACTAATACCATGCTACGAATCCTCATATTGTTTCGACGAGTGCTAGTAAGACGATTCACATTGATCATAAGCAGATTATTAACAGCCATTAAGCGAACACTCGTAATATTAGCAGTACTAATTAAATAACAATGCAACGAACCCTAACCATACTAATATTATTACGAAGAGGAGACAACTATGAATACTAACAACAGCAATGATGATAGTATTGAGAAGATAACGAAGATGATGACTGCGAGGAGGAGGAGGGGGCGGCGGAGACGGAGGAGACGGATGAGGCGAAGGAGGTGGATGCGGAGGCGGAGGCGGTCGCTGATGTTGACGACGACGACGACGACGACGACGACGACGATGATGATGATGATGATGATGATGATGATGATGATGATGATGATGATGATGATGATGATGATGGTGATGGTGATGGTGATGGTGATGGTGATGGTGATGGTGATGGTGATGACGACGACGATGATGAGAGGAGGTAGGAGGGGAGGAGGAAGGAAGGAAGGAAGGAAGGAAGACACGCGGGGACCGTCTCTTCAACACGAGGACCCAACACCACAGGATGGTTGGGAAAAAGGTCCAACCCCCTGGGGAGCCACGTGGTGAACAGAGCACGACGTCGGAGGTCTGGGGATGTTTCTCTGGTGGCCTCACACCCGATTCCCCACCACCCCAGCGACCCTGCCTCCTGGCCTCCACCCAGGCCTGCCCCTGTGAGCTGCATGGATGGGTGGATGGGTGTCGAGCCTGGGTCCTTAGGTTCCGCCGCGTGCATGGGCTACCTCTGGGGTAAGCTCCGTCGAGGATTCCCCGTCTCCGTCTCAGTTCGAGGTTCGACAGGATCGAGGATCGACAAGGGGCGATTCGAGGTCCGATTTTGAGCAGGACTCGCCGTCGCTGTCGCGGCGGACGCTGCCCACCCAGGACAATGAGTCACCTGCCCCACAGCGGCTGCTGTCGGTTTTGGACACCGTTGTTGGCATCGTGCCATTTTCTTTCGCACCAGTTTCGCGCGTGCGAAGAGGAGTTCCAGGTCCGAGGTCCGAGAGGGTCGAGGCGGATCAATGGCATGAGGCTCGAGGTTCGAGGTCTAATAGGGTCGAGGCGGATCGATGGGAGTGGTTCGACGTCCGAGGTTCGGCAGGATCCATGATCGATGGCGGGAGGCTCGAGGTCCGAGGCCCGAGAGGATCTGGGCGGATCGATGGCAGGAGGTTCGAGGTCCAGGGTAGGAGGAGGAGGAGGAGGAGGAGGAGGAGGAGGAGGAGGAGGAGGAGGAGGAAGAGGAGGAGGAAGAGTAGGCCCAGGGTCTGACAGGATCGATGGCGGATTGATGGGAGGCCGCTCGAGGTGCGAGAGGTCTCCATGCCGTCCCTCGTACCCGGGGCCCTTCTCCCGGCTCGCGCCCGCCGGCGCCAGAGCAGCGAAGACGCGGCCTTCTGGAAGCACGACCTGATGCGGCAGGTCCGCGGGCTTGGTGGGGTGGCTGCGCGCGTCCGCCGCGCCCCCCCCCCCCCCTCCCCGGTGGTCTCCTCGTCCCCACTTCCGCCTCCTCCTTGTCCATCATTCCTCCTCCTCGTGCTCCTCGTCCCATCCCTCCTCCTCTCGCCTTCCTCCTCTCCTTCCCCTCCCTCCCTTCCTCTTCCTCGTCGTCCATCCCACCCACCTCCTCTTCCTCCTCTCCTTCCTCCTCCTCTCCTCCTCCCCCCCCTCCTCCTCCTTCTTCTCCTCTTCCTCCTCCTCCTCTTTCTTCCTCCTCCTCCCTCCTCTTCTTTTCTCCTCCTCCGCCCCCCCCCTCCTCCTCCTCCTCCTCTTCCTTCTCCTCCTCCTTCTCCTCCTCCTCCTCCTTCTCACTTCCTCCTCCTCCTTCTCGCCTCCTCCTCCTCCTACTCCTACTCCTACGCTTACTCCTACTCCTACTCCTACTCCTACTCCTACTCCTCTCGTCCTCCTCCTCCTCCTCCTCCTCTTCCCCTGCTCCTGCAAAATATTCACCTGACTGTAAGGATCGATAACATCACCATCGCCACTATCAGCATCATCGGCACCATCCTCAGCACCATTCTCATCAGCCTGGTCCCTCCTCCTCCCCCCTCCTCCTCCTCTTCCTCCTCCCCTCCTCCTCCCTCACATCCTCCTCCTCCTCCTCCTCCTCCTCCTCCTCCTCCTCCCCGTGTCCCATACTTCCTCCTTCTCGTCTCCTCCTCCCTCGTCGTCTTCGTCGTCGTCGTCGTCGTCGCGTCGTCGTCGTCGTCGTCGTCGTCGTCGTCGTCGTCGTCGTCCTCGCGGCCTCCCTTCTCCTTCGCCTCCTCCTCCTCCTCCTCCTTCTCCTCCTCCTCCTCCTCCTCCTCCTCCTCCTCCTCCTCCCCTCTCTTCCTTTTCCATCCTTTCTCCTCCTCGTTCCTCCTTTCCCCCCTCCTCCTCCTTACTTGTTTCGGGCTCCACTCGCCTCCCTCTCCCATGCCAGGCTTACTCCTGGTGGTGGATGTAGCGTGGGACTGCCTCCCTACAGTCAGCCTCCTTACAGTCAGGTCCATATTTTACAGGAGCAGGGGAGGAGGAGCAGGAGGAGGAGGAGGAGGAGGAGGAGGAGGAAGAGGAAGAGGAAGAGGAATAATAATAATAGTAAGCATAATAAGCATACTAAAAACAATAAGAATAAGACGACTACACATAATAATAATAAGCAGGCTAATAAGGAGACGAATACGAACATGAATAATACGAATACTTAAAACAATAAGAAGAATATCAATACTATTAATAACAATCACAATCATACTAAGAAGAAACATACTAATAATAATAATACTAAGAATATTAATGATACAACGAATGCGACGAATAATAATACTAATATTAATAATCAGAATAATACTATGAAGAAGAAGACGAATACTATTAACACTAATACAAAGGAGGAACCTAATACGAATATGAATACGAATACTAACAATAATAATACTAATAATACGAATAACACTAATATTATTATTAATAAGAAGAATAATAAGAATACTAAGAATAAGAAGACTAATAAGAATAAGACGAATAATAATAAAAATAATATAATAATAAGAATAATAAGATTACTAATAAGAATGCTAATAATACTAATACTACGAATAAGAAGAAGCAACATCATAATAATAAGAAGAATACGAAGAATAATAATACTAATAATAAGAATAACAATAATATGAATAATCATAAGAAGCAAAATAGTAATACTATTACTAATAATAATACTAATAATAACAATAATACTAATACTAATAATAATAATAAGACTAAGAATAAGAATAATAAGACGAATAATAAGAATATGAAGAAGACGAATAATAATAAGAATAAGAATATTAATAATAATAATACTAAGAAGAATAATAAGAATAATAAGAATAATAGTAAGAATAATAATACTAAGAAGAAGAATAGTAATACTACTACTACTAATAATAATAATAATAATAATAATAATAATAATAATAATATTAATAATAATACTAATACTAATAATACTACTAATAATAATACTAATAATAATAATACGAATAATAATAAGAGGAGGAGGAGGAGGAGGAGGAGGGGGGAGGGGGGGGGGGGGAGGAGGCGAAGGAGGAGGAGGAGGAGAAGAGGAGGAGGAAGAGGAGGAGGAGGAGCAAGGAGGAGGAGGAGGAGGAGAGGAGGAGGAGGGAGGAGGAGGAGCAGGAGGAGGAGGAGGGGAGGAGGAGGAGGCGGAGGAAGATGAGGAGGAGGAGCAGGAGGATGAGGAGGAGGTGGAGGAGGTTGAGGAGGAGGAGGAGGAGGAGGAGGACCAGCGTAAACGCAAGAGACATCAACGATGTATGAATAAGCCCTCCCTTCAAGCTCCCTCTCCACAGGCCCCTACAATGGTTCATTTTTACTGAGGGATCTGTCTCGTTGGAAGACAACTGCGTGAAGACCCTGACAGGGGGCCTTTGCGCGCGGGCGCGGGTTGGGCGGAGCTTGGAGTGCTGGGGCGGGCGGGGAGCCCCCCCCGTTGCGCGCGGGGCGGGCAGAGTTTGGAATGCGGGAGGGGGGGGGGGGGGGGCGAGGGCTCTCCCTTTGCGCCGCGCAGGACGGGCAAAGCTTGGAGTGCCAGGGGGGGCTCTTGCGCGCGGGACGGGCAGAGCTGGGAGAGCCGAGAGGGGGGGGAGGGGGCGAGCTCCCCCTTGTGCTCGGCACGGGCAGAGCTTGGAGTGCTCGGGGGGTGGGGGGAGTCTCCCTTCGGGCTCCCCCCCGCCTTTCGTGCGCCGGGGGGGGGGGGGGGCGGGGGGTTCTCCCTTCTTGCCCCCCCCTGCGGTTGCTGTGCGTTTTTGTTGTTGGATATCGCTCCCTCTAATGGACGCGTATTAAGCTGAAGGCACCCGTATTGAGGGATCGCTGCTAAGAAGGGTAGCAGTAAGGAATCGCCATCGCAGGGACTCTTACTGAGGGCACCTTCAGGAAAGGTATCCACACTCAGGACGCCACACTGCACGCATCCCTGCTGCGGACCCCATTACTAAATGCAGCCTTCCCAAGGAGCCCGTGACAGCGGATGCATAAGGAAGCATCATCATTTAGTCCTTATTACAAGGGTCCTTACTGTACTGAGGGGATCCTTAACAGAGACATCCCCACTAAGGATTCCTCACTAGGGGTCTGTACTAAGGGCCCCTTGCTAAAGGTATCCTTACTGACGACTGCCTACCAAAGGCACCCGTACCAGGGACCCCTCACTGAAGGGAACTTCCTTCAGGATCCCTTTATGCAGGCAGCCGTACACATCCATGTGTACTACAGAAATCCTTACACAGGAACCCTCACTAAAACTAAAAGGACTGGTTCCTACGAGCCCTTTTAAAGGCATCCGTATTGAGGACTTCTAGCGATGGCCGTAGCGGAGGCGTTTGTATGGCGTCCCATCGGGGTTTCATTGGCTGGGCTTTGCGTGACTGTGAAACGGGAAGAAGTGATATAGAAACAGAGAGAGAGAGAGAGAGAGCGATAACCCGAGAAAGAGAGAGATAAAGAGAGAAAGAGAGAGAGAGCGAAAGAGGATATACACATTTCCTCCTGCCACGCCCCCCCCGCCCTCGGTGTTGTCGGGTTGTGATGAAGCAGCTAGGCCTCCCACCCATTTCGTCCTCCAGAAGAACTCCTTGCTAAAGGTTCCCGAATCCTGATTGACGGAATTGGTCTTACGGAATCCTTCCTACATGGACCCTTATTGAGGTTATCCTCTGCGAGGCGAGCGCAAAGTGAGAGACAGATGGAGAGAGAGAGAGAAAACAAAACGAGAGAGAGAGAGAGAGAGAGAGTGAAAGAGAGAGAGAGAGAGAGCACGACCCTCCCCCTCGAGCATGGCACTCGAAAGTTCAATCCCCCGCCTCTTGGCAATGGGCTGGAATTCTAAGGACCATGCTCGGGGGGTCTTATCTTGCCTGTCCATTGGCTGTCCTCCAAGATACCCTTAGACTGTCAATGCGCCCTCCTGCAAGATACCTAATCTGTGTGATGATGCTGGGGGAAGGGGAGGAAGACGGAGGAGGAGGGGGAAGACGATGAGGAGGAGTGTGAGGCGTGAGACCGCCCAAGTCTCGTGTGGCAGAACGCATGCTCCAAACTTGCCTGGCCTCAAGCTTTGGGTACTGGAGCCACACCCCGCTTAGAGCTTCAAATACCGCCCCGGGGTAGGTGTCCTAGCATTGTAGTCACGCCTCGCTCTCAGACGGGGGCACTCCGCGTGCGCGTGCGCGCGCGCACGTGCGCGTGCGCGCGTGCGTGAGCGTGCGCGAGTGCGCGAGCGTGTGCGTGTGCGCGCGCGTGCGCGTGTGCGCGTTCGTGCGCGCGCGTTCGCGCGCGCGCGGGAGTGCGCGCGCGCGGAAGCAGGCTCAGGCGCGAGCCCGAGCCCGAGCGCGAGCCAGGCCCCGAGCACGAGCGCGAACTTGAGACCGAGCCCGAGCACGAGCCCCATCCCGAGCGCTTTCGCGCGCGGGTGCGCGCGGCCCGAGTGCGAATCGGGCTCCGAGCCCAGGCCCGAGCTTGAGGCCGAGCTGATGTTGATGATGATGTTGATGATGTTGATGATGATTCTGATGATTCTGACGGTGCTGGTGATGGTGCTGACGATGAAGATGATGAGGATGATGACGATGACAATGCCGATGCTGCTGGTGATGATGTTGATGACGAAGACGATTCTGCTGATGATGATGACGATGTTGATGACGATGCTGATGATGATAGTGATGAGGATTGTGATGGTGGCGGTGTTGATGCTGATGATGCTGCTGATGATGATGCTGATGATGATGAGTATGAAGCTGCTGATGCTAATGATTGTGACGACGATGATGAGTATGACGATGATGATTGTGGTGGTGGTGGTGGTGGTGGTGTTGGTGATGATGAGGATGATGATGGTGATGATGATGATGATGATGATGATGATGATTGACGGCGACGGTGACGATTCTGAGGATAATGAGCGGTGACGGTGACGATGATGATGCTGCAGCTGCTGATGATGATGATGCTGATGACGATGAAGATGACGATGCTGCTGCTGATGGCGACGACCGCGGTCCTGATGATCATGGCGATGACGGCACCACGATGATGATGATGATGATGATGATGATGATGATGATGATGACGATGACGATGACTCTGATGATGATGATGATGGTCATGAGGATGTGAAGATGATTGTAATCGTGTGAGGATGTTGTTGATGATGCTGCAGCATATAAGTAGCATGATTGCATAGACTCCTATGCCGGAGATTATGATTATGGCGATCATGAGCGAGTATGACTATGAAGAGGATGTTGAGGATGAAGATGGTGGTGATGATGATGCTGATAATCATGATGATGATGTTGATGCTACGGGGAGGATGCTGGTGATGATGTGATGAGGTTGTCGACAAGACTGCTGCATTTTCTTATGTAGAGGACACATACTGTACTGCCGAAGAAGGTGAGTATGATGACCATGAACAAGGCGATGACGATGCGTGTGATGATGACGGAGACGACGATGAAGATGACGATGAGGATGATGATGACGACGATGATGATGTTGATGCTGATGCGGATGCTGATGCTGATGCATGGCAGAGACAATGATGATGATGCTGATGATGGTGATGATGATGGTGAATGTGATGATGATGACGATGATGATGGTGATGCTGGTGATGATGATGCCGATTCTGATGATTTTGGTGGTGGTGGTGGTGATGATGATGACGACGACGATGATGCTGATGATGCTGCTGCTGATGATGATGCTGAGGATTATGATAATGATGGTGGTGATGATGATGCTGATGATGATGCTGCTGCTGCTGATGATGATGATGATGACGATGACGATGACGATGACGATGTTGATAATGATGATGCTGCTGCTGCTGATGATGATAATGGTGGTGGTGGTGGTGATGATGATGAGGAGGAGGAGGAGGAGGGGAAGGAAGAGGAGGAGGATGAGGAGCAGGAGGAGCCACTAGCCCTAGCTAGCCTCAATTTGGCCGCCCTGCTTTGCCGAGGATGCTGGTAATCGCCACAAGCTCCAGCTTGCCCAGGCTGCACTGCTGCTTCGTCTATGCTGGTAGTTGTTGTCGCTGCCCCGACTAGCATTGCCGCCTGTTGCGACGAGTCTTCGGTAGTTGCCGTAAGCCCTGACCAGCCTCGACTCGCCCCACTGCCCTGCAGTATTGCAAACGCTGTTGCTTGCCGCGGTTTGAGGTAAGAAACACGATGACCACGATGTCGCGGATTCTTGTCGACGCCGATCTTGGTCATGGTCCATGTCAGCCGTCGCCGATTCGCGAAGCTGGCCCACGAACTGACGATGATCAGGATGGACGACGACCAACATCGGCACTGACGTTTCTGCGTTCAGTCTTGGTCATGGTCATCCTTTTCGTTTCCTCCAATGGTGCTGGCGATGCCAGTAGCTGCCACTCGTCCCGACTGGCCCCGACTGGCTCCACGGCCCTACTTTTGCTGACAGTGCGGGTAGTTTCGATCAGCCCCGTCCAGCGTCGCTAGCTTTTTTGCCCTGCTTGCTGTGCCGACAAGAAACGGCCCTCGGCTGCCACTAGCTCCGACTACTCTCGACTCAGTCTACTGCCCTGCTGTGCCGACGATGCACGTAGCTGCTCCCAGCCACGACTAGCCCAAAATGACCCCGTTTGCATGCACATATGATTGCTGACTCGGTTGCTGGTTCGCCCGCTTGCGTGCTGGGGTCTTTGTCTCACTTATTGGTTGTGTGGTTATTGCCGTCAGCTATCATTTCCATTACGGCTGCTATGCTTGATCCGTAAGAGCTTCGCCCCCTGCCGCCGGCCCCCTCTCTCGGATAATGGGGTATGCAGGAGCTATGTGAGGCCTGGGCGCCGACGTGAAGCAGCGTCGGAAATCCGAACGGGGGCCACTTGGGTTCGGGACCCCCGTCTCGGGTCACTCTTGGGGCCGTCTTGGGACCCTCTTGGGTGGCCGTCTTGTAGGTCTCTTGAGCCGTTTTGGGGCCCTCTTGAACTGTCTTAGGGCGCTCTTGAGAGCCTCTTGGGCCGTCTTGGGGCGGTCTTAGGGGGCCTGTTGGGCTGTCTTGGAGCGTCGGAAGCCCTAAAATGCGAACGTGCCAGCATCGATCAAACACCATACGAACATTACAGATTTTTGCCTCTTGGGCCCCTCTTGGGGGCGCTTTTGTAGCGCTCTTGGGGGCCTCTTGGGAGCCTCTTGGACAGTCTTGGGACCATCTTGGGCGTCTTGGAGCACTCTTGGGCCGTCTCGGAGGCCTCTTGTACCGTCTGGGGGGCCGTTTATGAAGGATTGTGGTTTCGAACGTGCGTATATTGTGTACTGTACGAGGATTTATGGGTTCGGGGACACGAAGAAAGCGTAGTTTACGAGGGGATCGTGGCTTCGGGGACGCGTAAGTTAGGAGAGAGTGTTGTCTCGGAGACGCGGGGCGCGAGCACAGAGTACTTTGCTAAGCTTTGTGGCCGCGGGACGCGGATATTCTGTAATCGACAAAGGATTATGGCCTCGGGGGCGCGAATTTGGCGTAATTTGCAAGGGTTTATGGCTTCGGGGGAGCGAATCCAATGTATTTTTACGTGTCCCAGGAGCCCCAAGAAATTTTGAGACCCCCGAGGTGGTGGTAACCAGGGTCCTTTTCGGCTCCCCCCCCACGCGCGGACTTCAACAGTTCACAGTAGGAAGCAGAAAACTCAATTATAACATTGGAGAATGGAAACTGGAACTGGTGCAGGGAGCAGCAAGCCTAATCCGCGGAGCCTGGTGGCCCCACAAGGGGGCCGGCAGACTTCGCTTCGTATCATCACTGCCACCATAAATGCTCTAACAGTCATCCTTGTTCGTGTTTAGTAGTGTGTGCGTGTGTAGGCCTGCATCTAAAGCAGGGGGCGTCATACGCAATCAGGAGGAAGTATGGTGGGATGGATGCAGCCAGCGATGGGGAACGAGCGCGGATTCTGGCATGGATTAGAGCCGCCTAGATGCTGACAGCGCTGCTCTCTTAGACGGGAAACGTGATGCTGCAATTCATGTCAGAACGAACGCATCGGACTCAAAAGCACAGCGGCTCTGATGCGAACCTTGAAACTGGCAATGTGTGGCTTCTGCACGAAGTTTTGGCGATCGACGGCGAGAACAAGATGAAGCGAAGCTATGTAGAACGAGTGCAGTGGAGGAGGCGAGCCAGGAGGAAAGTACTGATGAGGGGTCAGCGTTGATCTTTGGCTACAGATGTACATAATCCTAGTTCATGTCCGACCTGTGGATGGATTTTCGTCGTCTCGCCACGTCAACCTTTCAGGCCTCAGCTAGTGTCGCAGTGATTCAAAAACGTTTCAAGTAGTTTCAGCGCTGCTGGATATACCGCCGAGGGCTCCCGCAGATCCCAAGATAAACTTGTGACAACTGTGATTGTGTCGTGCTTAGGCAAAACCCACAGCCCATGAGCTGTCAGAGAGATCCACGAGTACGATTGAGAGTTAGCAGTACTTCGATGTTTCATTTCCAGCTGCCAGTCTTTCATGAAAAGCGTGTCCAAAGTTGATGGCGACTTCGATCGTCGTTGTTCACACTCTTCTAGGACAAACAGAGGGAGGAGGAGGGAGGAGGAGGAAGGAGGAGGGAGGAGCAGGGAGGAGGAGAGAGGGGGAGGGAGGGGGAGGGAGGAGGAGGGAGGGGGAGGGAGGAGGCATACTTTCACTGCCGCTCTCGAGGTGGAGGCCCTTCCTGGCGTCGAGGCCGTCAGCATGCGCCTGCGCTTCGAGGGCGCCGGGCGTGCGACATCACTGAGGCTGCTCCTGCGTGACCTTTTCCCGTTGCGGCAGCGAGTGTTCGAAAGCTGGACGTCTGCCTTCGTCGGCGCCCCCCCCCGAGATCCTGGCGGTGCAGTTCTTTCACCACCGGCGTGTTCGCTCCACTTCGGGCCCCGGGACCCTCACAGATCGGCCCGGCTCGAGAAAGGACGCAGAAGGATGGGGTCCGGGGCTGCGGGCGTGATTTTTTGCGGTGCTGCGTCGGATCTCAGGGCCTGGCCTCGCCCTGGGGGGCCTTCCCTGGGAGCCACGATGCTCAGCAACGTGTCCTACCCGCGGCATTCTTGCCCCGACCTCGCAGACGGGGTGCATGTTGTGGGTGCGCGGAGGGGTGGTGAACCCTCGGTAGCCCTCGCCGCCTGGACTCAGAAGCGCCGCCGTCGCCTCCGCCCTGCACCTCCTCCTCCGCTCCTGCTTCCAGACCCCCTCGCCCCCCCTCCGCCCCCTCCACCCCCTCGTCTCCCCAGGGTTCGTCTTTGTTCTCCCGCTCCGCCGCAGCCTCTGACTCCGCCTCCGCCTCCGCCTACCTCTCTGCCTCCGCCTGCCTCTCCGCACATCGACCTCGTCTCTCTCTCTCTCTCTCTTTCTGCCTGTGCGTGTCTACCCGTGTGTGGGTGTGTCTGTGTCTGTCTGTGTCTGTCTGTGTCTGTCTGTGTCTGTCTGTGTCTGTCTGTGTCTGTCTGTGTCTGTCAGTGTCTGTCTGTGTCTGTCTGTGTCTGTCTGTGTCTGTCTGTGTCTGTCTGTGTCTGTCAGTGTGTCTGTGTGTCTGTGTGTCTGTGTGTCTGTCTGTGTGTCTGTGTGTCTGTCTGTGTGTCTGTCTGTGTGTTCTGTCTGTCTGTCTGTCTGTCTGTCTGTCTGTCTGCCTGCCTGCTGTCTGTCTGTCTGTCTGTCTGTCTGTCTGTCTGTCTGTCTGTCTGTCTGTCTGTCTGTCTGTCTGTCTGTCTGTCTGTCTGTCTGTCTGTCTGTCTGTCTGTCTGTCTGTCTGTCTGTCTGTCTGTCTGTCTGTCTGTCTGTCTGTCTGTCTGTCTGTCTGTCTGTCTGTCTGTCTGTCTGTCTGTCTGTCTGTCTGTCTGTGTGTCTGTGTGTCTGTGTGTCTGTGTGTCTGTGTGTCTGTGTGTCTGTCGGCGACGCCCCGCTGCTGCGCTGGCTGGGGGCTGGAGGGTGGCGCGCAGAGGGTGCCGCGCCGCTGGGGCGTTAGCTCGGTGGCGGGCAATTCCCGCAGCAGTGCAACCTGCCTGATGCGCGGGTTTGCTTGCCTCCTTGCCAATAGTGTGGACAGACTACCTTCGCGAGTCTGTCTGTCTGTCGGCTGGCTGCCTGCTTGGCTGCCTGCCTGCCTGTCTGTGTCTGTCTGCCTGCCTCCCCAGGCCCCCGACGTCGTGATTCTTTCACAACGTAGACCCCCAGAGGTCTGGACCCATTCCCCTGGGCCTGTTTTTCATCCTGAGTTAGTTTTCGGCGGTCCCGCGGCCCGGTAGGGGCCCCCAGAGGCCGAAAATAGCGACAAACCTACCGCCGTTTTTTTTTTTTTTTTTTTTTTTTTTTTTTTTTTTTTTTTTTTTTTTTTTTTTTTTTTTTTTTTTTTTTTTTTTTTTTTGTTTTTTTTTATATATATATATATATTTATATTTTTATATATCTATATATTTTTCCCCCAGCGCGAGGAGGTCTGGGTTTCCCTCATTCCCCCTCCTCGCCTGCCCTTGCCGCGCCCTTCCGGGCCCGTCCTTCCGCAGCCCGCGCAGAGGACCTCCGGACCGCCCTCCTCGCGGGCCCCCCGCCCGGCAGCTGTCCCGCGGGCGCCCGGGTGGGCGCCCGCGGCCCTCTCGTCGCGCGGCCGCGTGCCCGCTCGGCATCCACGACCCCGCCATCCTCGAGCGTGATTGTTTCGGATTCCAGGGCGATTAGTGCTCGGGCGAGGGCGGTCGTGCCTGTGCGGGCGCGGGCTGCTTTCGGTCGTTGACGTCCTCTTCCTCCTCCTGCTCCTCCTCCTCCTGCTCCTCCTGCTCCTCCTCCTTTCTCCTCCTCTCCTCCTCCTCCTCCTCCTCCTACTCCTCCTGCTCCTGCTCCTCCCCTCCTCCTCCTCCTCCTTCTCCTCCTCTTTCTCCTCCTCCTCCTCCTCCTTCTCCTCCTCCTCCTCCCCTCCTCCTCCTCCTCCTTCTCCTCCTCCTCCCTCCCTCCTCCTCCTCCTCCTCATCCTCCTCCTCCCCTCCTCCTCCTCATCCTCCTCCTTCTCCCCTCCTCTCTCCTCCTCCTCCTCCTTTTCCTCCTCCTCCTCCTCCTGCTCCTCCTCCTCCTCCTGCTCCTCCTCCTCCTCCTCCTGCTCCTCCTCCTCCTCCTCCTTCTCCTCCTCCTCCTCCTCCTTGTTTCCTCCTCCTCCTCCTCCTCCTACTCCATGTCGTGCCCGCGCTTCGGTCGCACAGATAGGGGAACAGGCAGTGGCAGAAACGTACAAGTCAGGAGGGAGCAAATACACAGAGACACAAACCGTCGTCGATTCCCAGGAGAAGATGGGGAAACATATGGGAAGTATGTGTGTGTGGGTGGGGCGAAGACGAAGCTCCAGAAGAGGTGGGAGAAGATGGGGTACCCTGGGTCTTGTGGCTATTTCTCAGTGTGTCCCTGTGACCCTTCGAAAAGCTCGGAGGTCCGCGCGGATTTCTCGGGTCGGCGCTGGACCCCCCTCCCTGGCGCGCGGAGCGCGCGCAGGGGCGGCTCTGGAGGCGCTGCCGCGCCAGGGGGCTCCGGCGCCGATCCGAAACAACTGCGCGGACCTCCGAGTTTTTATGCTGATGCCACAGCTTGTTCCCCTAGCAGTGGGCGCGTCCGCCATCAGAACTTGACCCGTCCATCAGGCGCGTGCCGCGCGGCGCGGACTTCCGGGCCGCCTTGCGAAGCCATTCGTCCACCGACAGATCGACGCATGCGTAAAGCTTCCAACCGCCCTGGGACAGGCGTCCCCGATGGCAGAGCAGTGCATCCCATGCCGTTCTCCGTCCGCTCATGCGCTTTCTTGCTGGCCCGCCCAGGGCCAGGGCAGGCCGCGCGGTCGGCGCCGCCCCTCGCGAGACGTTCCTGCAGGCCTGGGGTCCGCGGCCCTGGCCCTCTGCCTCGTCGCGCGGTCAGTTCCCGTCATCGCCCCCAGACCTCCGACGACGTGATTCTTCCAGCTTCGGCGGCTTCCTCCAGTCTCGTTCCTTGGGGCCCCCTGGGCCATCCCACAATGGCCATGGGGCGCAAGACGGGTGCCATGGAGTCGGCCAGGGGGCCTGGGGCCGCGGCGTGGAACTCCGCGTCGCCCAACCATGCTGCTGTGCTATGTGTGCGTCGCCCCCCCAAAAGGGCCGACGCGCGCGCCGATACAGCTTGTGGCGTATGTTTCGTGGCGGGTGGTTTCTGGCCATGCCGCTCGAGAAGCGATGCGCTGCAAGATGCTTGTGCTGCACGGTCGGGTCGGACGCACGCCTCCAAGGAGGACGCATCTTGCCAGCGTGCCCTGGTGCGTCCCATCGTCGGATGTCGGGGTCGGAACTGGGAGACGGCGCCCGTCCCCGCTTCAGGCGGGGTAGGGCGGCCGGCGGGGTTAAGGGTTCCCCTGGAAACGGGGATGGTTTCCAAATGATGCCAACTGTACACCTACGTCGATGTGGCCAGGCTTGTCTTAGGATCAGGATTGGTGCGTACTGCGAGTTTCTCAATAAGCGTCGGGGGGGCGTCACCCCCGCCGACAGCCCCACATTGACCCCCGTCGCTGGCAGCCATCGCGCGCCAAAGGCGCTCCGACCCCCGTCGCGGCGCGACGACGATGCGAGGTTGACCCCCGTCGGAGGGGGGTACACCCCCACGCTACTTAAGAAACCCAGAGTGCGCCTGCATGGCTATTGCGAGGAAGGCCCACGCATCAGATTGTTTCCTTTCAATGCGCAGCCCCAGAGTTCTGCCCCCCCCTCCCTAGGGACACTTCGAGAGTCCAGGGGTCGAGGTCGATGAGAAACCGCTGGATGCAAACACAGTATCGCTAGGGATGTGGGTCCCGAGGCAAGGCCAGAGTCTCTATGCCTTCTAGATGGGGTCGGAGTAGACGGGGTCGGAGGATCGCGCCGCATCGCCGATGCATCGCCGATGCGGCTCGATGTGAAGCCCGTGTTTCCCAACGCCGACGTCGCCGATGCATCGCCGACGTCGCAAATGCATCGCCGATGCATCCTCGATGATGCATCGCCGATGCATCCTCGATGCATCGGCGATGCATGAGCGATGCGGCGCGAGCCTTCGACCCCATCTGCTCGGACCCCATCTGGGAGGCCTCTGGAGTCGGTGCAGGGCGTGCAGGGTGCAGTCGACGCCCTCCTGGGCATCACTCGTCCAGGCATCCTGCAGGAACCCCGGGCCCGACCCGTCGCGCCGCCAGCCCTGGCCCAGCACGCTTCGGCGCGACACGCCAACCGCGTCCCGGTCCCCGAGCATCAGCGCCCCGAGCCTTGCTCAGCCTCCCGCCCCTCGGGGGCGGCAAAGAGGGGTGTGATGACTAGGGGAGGGGTGGATATCATGGCGTGGGCCATGCTGTTTCCCCAGATTTCATGGCGCCTCTTCTTACTTCAATACGTCCCCGCCCCCCCCCCCCCCTGGGCCGCGCACACGCTGTCCGCCCGCGCGGCCTAGCGCGTCGCCGGGGCCGCCGCCGCACACGTTCGGGCAAGCAACAGAGTTCCCGACCGTAGCCTTCGTGGGTGGTCCGATCGCGAGGTTCTCCCTCCGGGAGTCTGCTGTTCCTCCTCCCTGTCCCTTTTCTCTTCTCTGTGGCTGTTGCTTCGCAGGTGGAGTCCCCTTTCCCTCCATTGGAAAGCTGGCATCGGACTGGGCCAGGACGAGGAGAGATCCGTGCCAGAGCGCTCCGCAACGCTCTCAGAGCGTTCCGGAACGCTCTGAGAAGGCCGTGGCGTCCGAGACATCCTCCAGAACAGCCGGATCTCAGAGATTCTCGATTTATCCTCACCCGATGTTGCCCTCGTCCTGGCTTCGTCTTATGGCAGTTTTCATCATCCCTGCGCAGATTTCATTCAGGAGGGGAAAAAACACACAGACATAATTAATCGTCGACTCCCAGGAAAATATGGGAAACTATGGGCAGTGGGGGGGAAGACGAAAAGCCAGAAAATACGTGAAAATATGGGGAATCCTGTTACTTGTGTCGATTTACTTGTGTGTCCCAGGGCCCTTTCAAAAACGAGGAGGACGAGGACGATGATGATGATGATGATGATGATGATGATGATGATGATGATGATGATGATGATGATGATGATGATGATGATGATGATGATGATGATGATGATGATGATGATGATGATGATGATGATGATGATGAGGAGGAGGAGGAGGAGGAGGAGGAGGAGGAGGAGGAGGAGGAGGACTGGGAATACCATGAGGAGGACGAAGTTCCCGGCCGTCTTCTTTTTCCACTGCGCGGGCTGCCGCGCGGGCTCCCTGCGCCCCCCTCCCCCTGCGCCTTGTCGCGCGCCAGGCTGCTGACGAACCGCGCGGAGTGGATCGGGCCGCGCCGCCAGGGGGGGGTCGTCGTCGTCATCGTCGTCGTCGTCGTCGTCGTCGTCGTCGTCGTCGTCGTCGTCGTCGTCGTCGGCGTCATCTGGCCGCCAGGTTTGGGAGCCGCTCGCCCCTCTGGAGGTGGCCTTCGAGTGGCCTGCGCCACGCCGCCAGCCCTCAGAAGACGCGGGAGCTTGCGGCGATCATGGAAATTCTCTGTCGGGAACTGGAACATATACGTTACCAGTGGCGGGATGTTTTGCAATCCCAGGAATTTTTGAGGGTCGGGAGCGACGTCGGGGTGGTGTGGTGTATACATTTTTCCTTGTTTTCCCGTGGAAACGGCGAAACGTGTATACACCAGCATCCCGTGTGCACCAGGAACCGCTTTCCTGTGTGAGTTCCAGTGCGGGGCCAGGAAAAGCGTCGGTGTATAGTTCGGCTCCTTACTTTGGTGGGTCAGGAGCCTCTCGGATGCATCTGAGGATGTTTGAGGGGCTCTTGGGATGCTTCTCAGGTGCATCTTGGATTGTTGCATGTAGGGGGCTTCCTGGGAGGCTCTTGGGAGGCTCATAGGGGGCTTAAATGGGGGCCTCTTGGAGACCTCTTGGGGCCTCGTCGGGGCGCCTCGGAGGCCTCAGAGAGGGCTCTGGGGCCCATCTTGGGGGGAACGGCTCGAAATGTTGATTCGTATTCGATCTCTTGGGCCACTCTTGGGGTCATCGTGGGCCTCTCTGTGCCGTCTTGGGGGCCCCTGGGGCCGTCTTGCTCTCTCAGGGGCCTCATGGCCCGTCTTGGGACGATCTTGGGGGCTCCTTTGGCCGTCTTGGACGCTGCCGAGACCGAGTGTGCCAACAGTGCACGTCTCCCTCGCGGAGTGTGACGGTTTTTGCTTCTTGGGGCCGTCTCGGCGATCCTTTGGAAGCACTCTTGGGCCGTCTTTGGGGCCTCGTAGGCCGTCTCGAAGCAAGTTTGGACCGTCGTGGGGCTACCCCAGGCCGTCTCGACGCTCTCTTGGATTGTCTTGAAGCTCTGGTTGGGCCCTCTTGAGCCATCTTGGGGCTCTTTGGAGACTACGATGGCCCTGGGTGCGCGTTGACGAGCTCGTGCCCCCACGGGGGGGGAGGGGGGGGGGTGCACCCTCTGATCGGATTCTGGACCCTGGCGGAGTGGGACGTGGAAAATGGGGAGGGGGGGACAGCCAAGTGTCTCACGCGCCTTCTCGCCCCAGGCAAGTGGGGGTCGGCGGACACATTGGCCGCGTCGGGCCTGGCCCAACCATTTGCAGCGCAGGGCTTCCAAATCGGCTGAGCTGGCTTTGCGCCGAGCCGGGTCCGTCCACGTCCGAGGCCCGCCGGCGTCCCCCGATGGCTCTTTTCTTGCGCGCTGCGGCGGCGGCGGCCTGCGCGCCTGGGTCCGGCCCCCCCGCGCCCCCCGAGCGCTCCGCACCGGTTGTCGCTCTTGCCCCGGGTCGTTCCTGCGTGCGGTCGGGGGCGGCAAAGAGTCAAGCAGTGGCGAAGCGTCCTGGCGTCCCCATAGCCCCACCAAACAATGTTCTAAGGACCTTTTGTGGTTCCCACGGAGTGTTTTTAGAACATTTCTGGCGGGGACTGTCTTGTTTTATCACATCGGATTTATGTTCTAAGAACATTGTTATTGTTCTTAGATTAATTTTGGGTTCTAAGAACATTTCGTGGTAGGACTATAGGAATGCCGGGACGGTCGGTCCCTGCTCAAAAGAGGGGGGTAATGACCAGGGCGGGGTGGATATCATGGCGTGGGCCACGACATTTCCTCAGATTTCATGGCGCTTCTTCTTATCTCATGGCATCCCTGGCCCCCCCCCCCCCCTGGGCCGCGCACGTGCCGCTGGCCGTGATTTGCGCCCCCCCCTCTTGGACGCCCCCCTTTTGGCCGCCCCCGAGGCGGGGGGGGGGGTCGTCGTGGCGGCGGGCAGAGGGAGGCTGCGAGGCTCAGGGGGGGCTGTCCTCCCGCCAGCAGCTGGATGCGGCAGGTCGAGGGATCCGTCCTGGAGAACCTTGCCCCAGGAAGGATTCGGGCAGGTTTTTCCGGGAAGGACTTTCCTTTTGGAGAAGGTTTTCCGACAGAGAGCCGCGCAGCCCTACCGCGCTGTTTCTGCCCGCTGGTGATCTGATGCTAGCAGGCATCTCCTCCTGGGCCCAGCTGGCACTTGGGCTTTCTGTTGGCATGTGCTGCCGTTCGATGGTGCGCGCATTCGTGTAGCCTTCGTGCCCCTTCAGTGCAGGCGGGTCGTGCCGTCGTGCTCTGCGTGGGAAGAGGGCATGCGCACGATTTGAGTCCGATCAGGGGCGGCTGCGGGCACGTATCTGCCCGTGCTCACGGTTCCAACTGCATTCAGTGACGCAAATGAGCTGAATTCCGCGTGCCGCCCCTTCATTTCTTCTTCTGGACGGCTCGACCGACTACGAAACGCTCCGGCTTTCGAGTTCAGGAAGCCGCCCAGGAAGTCAGTGGACGTCAGGCGGAAGTTGTACGGACCCTCCGCTAGAACTCGAGGAACGAGGGGGTGTCGCATGTTTTCGCCAGCACGGGGGGCCGCATCCGAGTGATTCGAAAAATTGATCCCCAGTGGTGCCACACGGTTCCCCGCGCGGTTCGCCAAATCGGCTCTGGCTCTACTCGGCCATATCTGCCAGCTGGTTTTGAAATCTAACAGTGGATGCACCGGGCTCTTGCTTCCAAACCGCCCGCATGTTTCGCGCATGCGCGAGGAAATAATCTCCCATTAAGTGTGGTGGTGTGCCTCCGCAGGATGGGTCCATCCTGGCGTCGCAGGCGCGATCAATCAACCGCTGTGGTTACTAAGCATCGATGCGCCGCGGTGGCGCGTTGGCTCTGCAAGCTTCCTCGCCCATCCCAGGCGGGGCCTGAAATGTAAGGCGGGGTTGCGTTTTTCTACGTTCAGTTTTCGGATTGTTTTCCTTGGGAAAGCGCTTCCCTTAGAAGGATTCAGTAAGATTTGAGTAAGGTCATTCTGGGAACATCTTCCCCCAGACAGGATTCCGAAGTGGTCCGGTTCACTTTTTTTAATGAAAATTCGTTCTGCGGGGAGGATCCCATAATGTTTCTGGACGGCCTTCTTGGAACGTCCTTCCCCAGGAAGGATTCTGAAAGGGCTTAGGAAGGTTCTCTAGAGGAAATCCCGCTCCAGGAATGACCTAATAAGGTTTGATTTTTCCTGCGGACACATTTGCCCAGGGAGGATGCGGCAGGTTTTCGTTGGAATGTCTCTCCTGAGGGAGGAATCCAGAAGCTTTCGGATTGTTTTCGCATCGTTCCAGCACGGGATATTCAGGGACGTCTATGGAAGGCTTTCCAGGAAAATCCTTCGAAGTTCCAGGACATGTATTAGGCATGTTTTTTTTGACAGCGAAGTCTCCAGAAAGGATTCACGAATGTGCTGCGAAGGTTTTCCTGTATGAAGAATCCAGGAAGGTTTCATGTCGTGTTTCAGCTACGCTTTCGGGGAACATATTTTCCCCGGGAGAACCGAGCATGGTTTCGAGCAGGTTTTTGAATTGAGCATCTTTCCTTAGGAAGATCCATACATATTTACGGAATCCTTTCCAGGAGAATCAGCCTTCCGGAAGGAATTCTTGTGAAGATTTTTCTCCACGAAGGATCCGGGAAGGTTTTCGTTGGGAAGATCCTTCCCCAGGACGAATTCAGGATTGTTTTGACCAGTCTTTCTGGGGAAGTCTTTCAGCAGGAAGGATTTCAACATATCTCTGAACGGATTCTGAACGTTTTTAGAAACATGTGTTCTTTTATAGGTGCTTTCCGAGGACAGGAAGGTTTTAGGAAGGCTTCTCGGGACAATCTTTGCTCAGGGGAGATCTCGGAAGGTTTCAGGGCGGTTTTCTATGAATGTCTTTCTTCAAGAAGGACCCAGTCATGTGTTATCATGGTTTCCCTCGTAACATACATCCGCAGGAAAGATTCCGGAAGGTTGTCGCACGTTTTTTCTGGCAAAAGCATTCCTCACGAAACATTAAGGGAGTGTGGAGAGGACGGGTTCTCAAGGACCTTCTTTCAATAGGAAGGACTCATCACGGTTTTACGATGGCATTTCTTGGTGAACATGCTGTCATGAACGATTCATGCTTTAGGATTTGTCGTAATACATATATAGATAAACACACACACACACACACATATATATACGCCCCTTAGGAGGCAGATACCGCCGCCCCACTTTTGTTAGAGCCCAGAGTTTCCTTTTGGGGTGGTCCAGCTCGGCCCCAGAGGGTCCAAGAAGACGCGGAGAAGAGCCCAAGAACATCCCAAGAGGGCCCCAAGAGGGCCCGAAAACGGGCGAAAAGGGCACCCAAAGGTGTCGAAACCGGCGGAGGAAAATGAAGAGGGATACAGAGAGGCAGAAAAGAGCATCGCCAGTTAGTTTTGGGGCCTCAGAAAGGCTTCCAGGGACCCCTGGGCGCGCCCAAGACCGCTCATGACAGCACCAAAAAAGAATCCACACGGGCGTGGAGGTCCCCGAGAGGCTGTCAGGGCGGCCGCAGAGAGCATCCGCAGGTTCCAAGATGGCTGCAAGAGCCCGCGGAGATACATGGGAGCTCCAAGAGCGGCGCCAGGAGCAGCCCGATCAGGATATAATCGTCATAACCTTTTGTGTCTTACCATGCTTTTTGCTTGTTGGGGGTTTCTGGTGTATGAGACTCGAAGAGAGGTAGAGAGGCATCCGGGACGGCCGTTGGTGGCCGAAGGGCGGTCAAGATCAGCCCAGAAATAGCTCCGAGAGGCCCCCAAAACCGGCCCAGTAGGCTCCCGGAGAGGTGTCTGAGAGGGCTGGTGGCGCTCGGAAGCCGAGCACGTGAAAGGTGTGCGGACGAAGTGGTGGCAAGAAGGCGCCTCGACCGCAGCCTGGGCCCCTGGGCCAGCGGAAGGAGCAGGCCGCGGGGAGGATCCCAGCAGGGCTTGCAAGGGCTCTGAGGAAGGGCATGGGTACGAGGAGTGCGTGGGCAAGGGACTCAGGGGA